GGGGAGGCGAGGGCGCGGAGGGGATACAGCCCTGTTTTCCTACCTCCCGAAACTCGGGCACCCTTGCAATTTTTTGCAGCCCTCGCCGGCTTTGTGCGGAGGGAAGAGTGCGGTCCCTCCGCCGGGATCAGGGAAATACCCCCTCCCTCCCTCCCTCCCCGCCGCCAGCATTCCCGGGGAATGCGGGGCTGTAGGGAACGGGCACCGGCACAGCTCGCTCGGCCTCTCGCTGGAACGCAGAGGGGCTGAAAGTTGCGGTGGGGGGAGCGGGACGGGTTAGGTTTCTTCCGTAGGGATGGGAAAGAGCCTAAACCCGTCATTGCTCCAAAAAGTTGTGCTGGACGACTTAGGTGTGTTTAAGGCAAGAAGCCCGGGAAACGCAATCAGATTCTCTCCTTCCAGGTCTTTCTGGGATGAATCGTCCCTGTCGCTGGGGCTCCGGCGCGGCCGCAGAGCGAAGCCCTGACCCCGCACGGGCGGTGGGAGAGCGGGGCCTTGGGCTCGCCGAGCACTCGCCTGCGTTTCAGAGAACGTGCTTTAGTGATTTATTGTTTTGTAATTAAAAATATTACAGATTTAGAATGATGGAATCATGGAGTCGTTTTGGTTGGAAGAGACCTTTAAGATCATCAAGTCCAACCCTTAACCATGTCCCTAAGTACCATAGCTACACGTTTTTTAAATACCTTCAGGTATTTATTTTGTTTCTCCAGATCTTGTTTAAAACCAGTGACAGAAATCAAACCCATTCTCAAAATCAACAGCCTGTTTTGGCACTAAAAGGGCTTGAGAGCCACTCTTGGGGAGCCTTCCAGGAGCTTCTCCAGGCAGATGGGGACAGACAGGACTCACTATGCCTTGCTGCATCTCCAGTAGCGTGAAGGAAGATTGTTAGAGTTACTAACTAAAGTAAAAAAATAAATTCAGCAACCTTTTAAGCAATTTTCTAAAACCGTCACAAGAAAACCTGAAGCTCTCGCTTAAGAACTTGGCACTAGTTTTTCACATTTAAGCAGAGTTATATTTAATATTGGAGGGAGGATTTAGCTTTTGTGACAACTGAATTCTAAACAGCATGACTAAAGCTGTGGTGCTGAGGCAACGTGTTGCTTGCACAAACTGCTTCCCTAAGCAATGCCTCCTACAACTTGTGTAAATGAAGGACTGAATTGCACAGGTGCCTGTTGAAGCTGCTGGACCAGACGTGGATATTTTATGTAAAAAAAAAACCTAAAAAATATCTGATTTGTTTGTGTTTTGGGATTCAGACGGTAGGGGGGGAAATCACAATTGGATTTCTTATGACTTAGAATCACTGAATCACAGAATATCAGGGGTTGGAAGGGACCTCTAGAGATCATCTAGCCCAATCCCCCTGCCAGAGCAGGACCACCTAGGGCAGGCCACACAGGAACAAGTCCAGGCAGTTTTTTTAAGTCCCCAGAGAAAAAAGACTCCACAACCTCTCTGGGCAGCCTTAGGAGATTAATCAACAATAGTAATTTCAACGGATTTACAGAGCTAGATCCTTTGTAACCAGAGTAGACTCATTTGTTTAGCTTACATTCACTGCTTCGCCAGTGTAGAGGCATATGCGTATACATGCAAATCAATCAGCACAAATTATATATATAATAAATATGGTGTGCATGTATGTATTTGCATGCATGCCATCAGCATTTGTTAGATATTTAAATCATCATATATGTAGGTACCTGTCTGCTTAATAATAATAGCAGCCTGATGATAGCATAGTCTGCCCACAACTAAGCAGCACCATCCACACACTGCATGTGACTTGGTACAAAACAGAACCAGCACTAGGAGCAAAGAGATGGGGCTGTGGCTGGGAGCAGCGGAGGTGTGGGCATATGTTATCTCCTGCCAGCTCTGCTGTGTGTGGCAGAGTCAGGCAGAGAGGAGGTGTAAGCAGCCAGGAAAGATGCCTTAACTCATCGAAATAAAAATTGTAACAGCTCACTTGCCAGACATCTAAAGAATTAAATTTTACTATGTTTTCTACATGACTGTCTGCGACAGGCGGACACAAAGTAGAGAGGAGTTTCCAAAGTATCTCATTCATAGGCCAATTGTTGCATTTAGCTGTCTGGTTCCTGCATAACTCAGAATTCAGAGGAAGTACTATCCTCTCCCACGTATTTAATCTTCAGAAAATGTTCATGAACTTCAGTTGGTGTGAACTGAAGTTGCTCACCAGAGATATCTAAGGAATAAAGACCTCTTACTGAGCTGGGAGAAGTTTCATCAGCCAAAGACACACCTGGACCTATAAGTGCTCTGGTGGTACAGTCTTCAATGTTGATCCAACATTTCACATACACACTCAAAACTGTATTTCAAGTCACAGGAATGCAGCAGGACTTCAGGAATATTATCAGTTGTAGTAGAAAAAAATAGTCGTTTGTGATGGGGTGACATATGAGACACACTAATAGACTCCAGTGAGTTGGGAAGAGGTGGAGCAGGAGTGGACAAGAGGACAACTGTTTTGCTGCAGCTCTTGTACCAGATTACTTACAGTGACACCAGGCCAGAACATCACTCATAATGGAGACGTTTATAGTGTAATATTCCATCCATGGCCATCAACGTTTTGTGAGTCTGGGATAAAGACCTTTAACAGTTACTAGCATCCTTTTTTTACTTTCTGTAGACAGTTTGCATATAAATCTCATTTTAAGAATAGTCCATTAAAACCACAGCTGTCACTTGCTGAGAGATTTTGAATGGGTTTTTTTCATCCTGAAATCATCTTTGTGATGGCTTTTGTGCTTTCTCTTCAAAGCTTTGTCTCATTTTTCTTTTTTTTTGTTCACCTGTTAAAACTGCAGTTCTTTCTCACAGCTGGCAGATTGGAAATAATGGAATTTAACTGCTATTGCAATGGTTCTGAGGGGAAGGAAAAAATCTTTGCAGTTCCTGATTTTAGAAAGGTATGTTTTACTAGCTCTTGCCCTTCATTTCCACATATTCTATTTCCATTTCAAAATACACAGACTCACTGTTCTGCCGAATGGTATTTATTTAAAAATAGACGACACTCAGGAATTCACAGATTCTCTCATCTAAGAGGTACTCGATGTAAAGAGAGGAAAAATAATTAATGCCAAAAGGAATTTAGGATATGTAGACACAGATGTATTGCTGAGGTTTAGGCTATAAAAGTATCCCATCAAAAACCTCCCATTATGCTTAGGCTCCAAAACAGGCAAGAGGAGGTAGCGGTAGAGGTGGAGGAGGCTGGAAGTCACTGTATATTCAGCCAATTTAGTGAGGTAGCTGGACATGTTCTTAACTGTAGAAGTGGAGTTATATTTAGCAGCATGGTTGAATGTATGCTTAAGGCCCATCAGTTTTACTCACTGAAGCTGAAATGCTCTACTGCACGGGGGTGGGCAAAGGCACAGGTGTGCACGTAGGCACGCGAAAAGACCGAAGAAGAAAGGGAGGGAGCTGGTATTATCCAGTTATTCAGGACAAAAGAATCCTTGCAGACTACGTCAGGTTCTGTTGCCCATGTTTCAAATAAAATAAAAACCCATGAGCAACCAGAAAACGATCAGAAAAGCATTGCAGGAGTTATGCTTGGGAAACTTCCTCAGCTGAGCAGAGGGCACCGGGAGGGTTAGAAACAGCTGAGGGTGTCTAACAGAAGGAAAAGTTTTCTGATAATAGATGACTTTTAATCTTTCAGGTAAGGTTCTTAAAACTGCAGTTTTATAAAAACTGGTAGAAACTGAAGCTAAAAGAAATCAGGGTAGAGGTAAGGTGCACATTTTTAACAGTGAGGATGATTAATGGCTGATGCAGTTCATTTTTGGTTGTAATAGATTTGTCATTGTTTGCAGCCTGAAAGCCAAGGCTGAATGCATTTCTGAGGGACTGCCTCAGCTCACCCCCCAGCTCTGCCTTGATAGACATGGTGCTAAACAGCAATCTCTAGTCTGCATTGTGGGAAAAATCATTTTACATGGTTAAAGTTATCACTGCTGGCCTTAAAATCTGTTTTAAGTTTTTGTTTATTTGGGACTGGGATGGATAGTATTAATTAACCATATATAATAAAAAGAACCATTCTACCGATATCTCAGTTGCTTCTTTTCTCTGTAACGTGTGTGATAAGGATCCTACATCAGCCATTTATGAGTCTCTGGGTGAAATCAGGAAGTAATTGATGCTGCCAGAAGAGATTTCCACAATTTTTTATTATTTTTTTTTTAACGTTTTTCATATTGAGCCAACTTCAGGTAAACCAACAGCAAAAGATGAAAGATGAATGCTAGCCAAGACAAAAAGCAAAGGGAATCAGATTTTCCTAAATGTGATTCCCTGGTGGACTCTCTTGGGGGCGGGGGGATTGTGTCTTTGATCTTATAAAATAATATCTTGTATTTTTGGATATTCATAGAATCATTGTGGTTGGAAAAGACCATTCAGATAGATCATCAGGTCCAACTGTTAACCTAGCACTGCCAAGTGCACCACTAAACCATGTCCCTAAGCACCACATTATATCAAAAAAATTAGTATCTTTATTTTCAATATAGCTAGAGCTCATGTGATTAAAAACTACAAAAGGTCAGTGACTTTTGAAGCAAAATAAAGAAAAAAAAAGAAAGAAAAAATTTCTCATTTATAAAATGGTACAACTTGGGTATGTTTTTTGTATTCTCTGGGTCTGCATGGCTACATCCCAGGTGAACATCTGTCCTGAGAAAATTAGCAAGATTTTAAAAGTTATTGTAATTTTCTAATACTGAGCATTTCAAAAGTTTTATTTTTTCTTTTGACATCTATACTGCTGAAGTGGAAATATAAATCAGGTGTGCTTAATCCCCAAAGAAGCCACTGAAATTTTGTCTCTGGCTTAAACAGTATCACAGTTTGTCCTGTGGAGTAATTTGAGAACAGATTTCTTTTCAGTGTTGTGATTTCTCAATTTATCTAACCCGCTGTATATTAATAGTACATATTAATTTTATATTGAATGTTTAAATTACAGGCTTTTTTTGGTTAATAATTTTGATTGGAACACTTGCAATCAACATAATTTATCTTGGGATTTTACCCTATTACCTTAGTGTGAGATTGTCTTCCACAAAATGAATAGGAAAACCAAATCCTTGATGGAATCAAACAATCAGTAATTTCAGTAATGCAAGCAGGCACTATTGTAAAGACTTTTCTATCTGACAGAAAAGGAACACTCATGAAGACAGAAGAACACAGATGAAGTCTCATAGAGTCAGACATTAACTCATTGTTGGGCTTCCCTTCTCCCAGAAGGCAGCTGCTGGCT